CTAAATTGCTGTGTCAAAGGTCTCCAGTGATAGGTCTCTTAGCTTGTTGTCTGTCTAAGTGATTTGGGGCTCTTGGCACTGGTGTTAAAAGAGTTTGCATCAGTTTGCATACCAAGCAAATACACAGAGGAGAAAGTGCAGCAGAATTTCTTAGTGACACAGATATTATAGCTGTGATGACTTAAGGACTGGCAGTGTGCTAGCAGGGTTCTGTGACTATAAACTTTTATATATTTTCTGGCAATTTGCTCTTACAAAATTAACTACTGTACCAAATTTTTTGGGTTTTTTTATTAAGTCAATTTATATATTATTTATTTACACATTTTTTTTATTTAACAAGGTTATTGAGATATATATCATTTTACCTGCATTTTGAGATAACAAAGAAGTGCCATAAATGATAGCATCCTGTCTTTGCTTGATCTGTTGGTGTATGTGATTTATGTTACATTGCTATTAAATTTTTATTTGGACATTACTGTACACTTATATCACCTCACATTCAGAAGTAGGTAATGGGACTGTCATTTTAGCAGCTCTGCATGTGGGAATAGTTGGTAGTTTGCAGTGCTCCCTCCCCTAGTGACTTTCTAATGTAATTAACTGATGCAGCAGTTAATGTGATACTTTCAGCAGTTCAATCCCAATATTTTCTACTGTGTTTCTTGACATGCTTGAATTCTGAATGCCTCAAGACCTTGAAGAAATATATAGCAATAGTGGTTTTATAAAGCAATAGTGGTTTTTTATCATCTTGAGTGATGCATTTTACATGTTTCACAGATTTTGTTACTTGAAGAATACCTGAATTTTCCTCTTGTGTTTAGTCCCAGGTTCAGAATGAATCACAAGTATTGGAAATGAGTAATATATATAACAGGAATAAAATGGCATCTGCTTTCAAAAACGTTTCAGTCACCTCTTTTGATTAGTCTCAACTGGGAATGTTAGATATAAATGTTAGATTTTGTAACTTGTTTGCTGTGAATTGAATAGGATGTCAATTCATCTCTGTGAGCATGCACAGTTAATGATGAAATAACAGTACTTCCCTAGGTAGTATACAGAAGGATGAAATAACTTACCAGTGTAACTTAGGCACTTCTGAAAATGTAAATATGCCTTATTCTGAATGTCTCAGGTATTACTAAAATGAAAGCAATAAAGAGAAGGGAGGAAAGAGGGGATGGAGTCAGGGGGTGGAGGGCCAGGAGTCTTTCATAAGTATGTTTGGCTTTTTTAGACAGAATTTATAGGTCATGCTGATTTTCTTTTAAAAAATACAAAACAAGCTGTACTAACACACCTAAAACAGATCATTCACTGTCAAAAACCTGTGCAAGTAATTGGGATTTGACAGTAATTTCAAACAAGTTACCACTGTAGGAACATCAGGCAAGTTTCTTTGTCTAGATACTCATTACTTGTCCTTTTTAAGTCCTACCAGATTACAGACAGGAGATGATATTGTGAACTGAATAGCTGCCAAATCTTCCCTTTGTGAACAAAAATAATTAGGCATACACTGAAATTCAGAAGAAATGACATACAGTACTAGCTTTTGCTGATGATTGTACCTGGCTTCTTTATTCTGCAGTCATCTGCTACTGACTTCAGCTCACGTTTCTCAGAAATCTCTCTGCTCCTCAATCCTGCTACATCATCAAATGGAAATACAGAAGTAAAACACTCCTATCCAAATTTAGGCAGATGGACAGGTAGCATTATCTAATAGCTCTACTTTACTGCAACACACTCAGGAGCCCTGATTCCACTGGGGGATGGAAATGTTGAATGTGATAGTGATTTCTTCAGTGTCAGAATGCTGACTGTAAAGAAATGCTCCCTTTTTTATAATGATATATATCACAATGCAAAAGTGGATTGATTTTTATTCTTGAGATTAATTATTATGAGAACTAGGCCTTGATATAGTTTTTACTGAAACAATGATTGAATTCTCATTGACTTCAGAAAAAAATAGTCAGACCACACATGCTTAGTTTTACTGTTTTGGAGATATGTTTCTTATTAGAAAGTACTTCGTTTTGTTAATAATATTTATGGAGACAAAGGAACTGGGAGAGTAGCTAGTAATTGGCTAAAGGTGATCCTTTTCATAATGAAGTAGAAGATTCTTATATTTAATGAGTGGGAAAAAGAATGGCCAAAGGATTAAAGAGATACATTCCACATAAACAGCTCTGGTCATTGAGTGCACATGTATCAAATCTACTGAGTTATTTCAGTTATCTCAGAGTCTGGCCCATGAAATCTAAAAGCATCCAGCATCATATCTGTTCACCTTGCCAGTTCCTGTGACTAAGCTGTAAAAGTGAAGAATTGCAGCAGCTTATAGTAAGGAGGATAAAGGAGCACCAGTATATGTGCAGACAAAGGAGAAAGCAGTAACACTTGTGGAAATTACAGATAAATAAAATCCAATCTCCTTTCACATGTGAGAGTTTCTCATAAACCAGTATACATTGCTTGTAAAAGAGTGGTGACAGAGGAAAGCTAATAGCATTTCCAATCAGCCTTATTCAGTCTACACCACTCATGAGCTCCATACGGCAAATTTGTTGAGAGGGCTCTTCCAAGTGGGGATCTATTTCCCAAAACAATTTTTATGGCTGGAAGTCAGTAATAATACTTAAAGCAAATAGACTATATCCTTATTCAATGGATATGCTCATGTGGAATCTTCACAGTAGATTTAGATGGCTCACAGCTTCAGAAATCAAATTACTTCCAGGGTAATGGGAAATTTTAATAGAAAAAATTCCAGCATTCCGTAAGCTGTGAAGCTGTGGTTGGAGAGTGGAAGAGAAAGATCCCCTGTAAAGTCTCTTGCTGCCTGGCTTTTCATGTTATGTTGGCACTGCAGTAGTACTGTGTTACAAGGTAGAACACAGGCATCTATATCCCATCATAGCATATTCTCTCTCAGGCATATCCTGACCTAAGCAAAGGAAGTCGTTTCAGTGGCGGTCTGAAATTTCCCCAGTGACATAGTTTGAGTATGTCTCTGGCTTACATATGCATTCCAAAATGAGGAATGTTTCTTCTAAAAGACTCAGGGTAGTTGGTGAAGCCAAAGTTATTTCAGTCTCTCCATTCCTCTTCCTACTTAGTAGGTGCTGTGGCTGAAGAAAGCAGGGACTACTATTTCAAAGTCTGCTTTTATTAGACATACAGTCTACTTTTATTGGAGAGGAGAGGAGAGGAGAGGAGAGGAGGATTAAAACTGTAGCTGTGTTGCACACAGCAGTTTGGAGGATGTGATGCTAATTTACACTAGCTGAGAATCTGGCATCCAGTGCATTTGGGAAAGAAAATGTACAATGGCATTAAAACCCACCAGATTTATTCTTTGCTATATCAGCTTGGTGCTTAATGCCACTCCAGTGGACTAGGAAAGGACAGTTCCATTTCAACACTTTATGTCTTCAAGAAAAATAAACAACACAGAAAATACGCAGCCAAAACGCAAACGAAGCAGCGGAATTTGGCTTTAATCTTTCAGTAATGCATTTCTGGAAATAATTTATTTTTTTTACTGGTCATGGAAAGTGAATCATATGTTTGATGGTTTGTATTCTGCTATTGTTGTCTCCTCTTCATTTTTAGGCTTCATATTATTTAATTTCTGCTAGGTGTTATTTCTAAAGAGAACAGAACGAACTGAGGGCCTCACACCCTCAGGTCTCACACTATCCAGGTCTTTTATCAATGTTTTTTAATGACTAGTACTCTGCTACAAGCCTTCTAAATTTACCTGCTAAACTATTGTCGGTTCCCTCCCCAGTCCTGGATACATGTACATACACAAATATATACATGTGTCTGTATATATATAAATGTATATATGTATGAGAAATTCTTTGGCACTGGTTAAGGATGAGACCAGTAGGGTTGTTTACAGAAGGTATTCTGACTCTTTATGTGGTTTAATAAGAAATTACTTCATTTGTAGAAGATGGAAGTGATGGAATGTTGCGTTTTCTTTAAATATCCGGAATTTAGTATAACTCCAGTTCTTTCTAATAGCTTCTGTAGAATCATCAAAAACCTAGAATATTTTCTAGGTACTCTTAAGGCCAGCCATAGGGATTTTCTGTGAGGGATGAGTATGACTACCTGGTGATTTTCTCAGGAGCTTTCAGGATGGGATACGAGTAGAAAAGCCCTTTGGATTTCCAAAAACCCATACAGATGGAATTGCTCATCTGACTTCACTTCTGCCCTAGATTTCAGATAGTCTGGACAACTATCATGATTTTCACCCCTGACTATGAAAGCTAGTTAGATCTTTTTCTAATTACTTACTGTTGTCATACTGAGTGGTTCACCAGTAGAATGAATTAGGAAAATGCCATTATCTTCTACTTTGTAAGTGAGGAACCAAGGTAGTGAGAAGTAAAAAGCTTTAAAAAACTTCATCAAGATCTACAGGATGTTGAGACAATTTTGAATGCAGGACATTGAGACAGACTTCCAAGGTTGCTAACTGCAATAGCATAGATTTCTAATAGCAAAGGCATATAATAAAATGTATTCCATATATCATGGGGAATCCTAAACTCTGTCAGTGGAGCACTGACTGAAATAGGAAAGTTCCAGATATGTGTGCCACTGTATTCCAATGTCTTGTGATTGACTTAGTTGTGAAAACAAAATTCTGCATGTGGCAGCCTAATGCTCTGCTTTATCACATATTAGGCAGATGGAACAGGATGTTATTTATGTTATTTTAACTGTCTTTTTATCAAAGCTAAGGCAATAACTTACCTGCAGTTGAGAGGAGGAAGAGACACGTGGAGAACATGTCCTGCTCTTGTACTCATGGTTTCCTCTCTTTTCTTTTTCAGTGAGTATGTTTTTGAACACATTAACCCCCAAGTTCTATGTTGCCCTGACAGGCACATCCTCATTAATCTCAGGACTTATTTTGGTAAGTACTACCTCTATTGATATCACTTTAGAATTTCATTTTGATATCCGGAATTGTATTTCAGGCTTCCTGCAGATTAATAGGTATCTTTTTTTCTTCTGTAAATTTACAGTTCTGCAGCACATAAAATTTGTCTTTATTTTTATGTCTCTTTTTGTGTGAATGAAAAAAAAAAAAAAGGGTTTCAGTGCTGTATCTTTGAAGACAAAAAAAGTCTTGAAGAACAATGTGACTCACTAACAACCCTACAGTAATTCTTAACAAGTATTTGCACATTAAGTGCTTTCCTTGACAAGTTGTATGCTTTTAAAATCTGCTGGATACAAGCTGTAGACCCTCCCTCACCACACCAAACCAGGCATGTAACTGAGGGACCAGTGAGACCAAGTGTAAGCTATTGTAGTAATAAGTGGAAAGAGGAGTGAAAGAGAAACATGGCTAGAGACTGGTTCACATCATCTCAAATCTGCTAATCTCAGAGAAACCCGAAAGTAGCTCCAATCCTAACTGAACACTATCAGTTTGGTTTGGGAAACCCACATCTCTCACTTCCACATTGCCTGCAGCCAGTGTAGATAAACAAATGGCATCCTTGACTACTTAATGCCTGTGAGACTCTCATCACTTAGATGATTGCAGGTATAAAGCAGAAGGTGCACTGCTGCTGTGCCTTGCTCTGAGTTTCCTCATAGCAGAAGGCAATTACCTAATGTTTGCACCTTGGGCATTCATCAGTCTTGCATGGATTGAGCCCCAAAGCACTCGATGGAGCTCCAGAGAGATCAACAGATCTTTCAGAATATGAGCAAGAGCCAGACCTGTAAGACTTGGATTCAGTTCAGCAGAGCTCACTCAAACATACAGGAGAAAAATAATGTTAGATGCAGCACTGTCACTCAGAAAGAAGAAAATGCTGGGTGCCACCACCAAGATGAGAAGGATTGAGAGAAATAACATGGCTTTCACAGACACGATTCCGTATTTGTTTGTACAGGGAAAAGACAGCAGGAGGAGGTGGCAAGACAAAGACAGTTTATTTTTTGCCTTATTGAATTACATTACAGAATCAAACAGGAATAAAAACTTTGAAGAGTGACTAATTTATGTGAAACTAAATTCATCATTGCAAATGTAGGTACATTTTATACTGTACTCATTAAGGTAATTTCTGAGGAGTGAGCTCAGCAGGCGACTTGTGAGCAAGGAATTTCTAAGTACTGTACTTTGATGGGAAGTACAAGAAGGAAGTGGCAAGAAGTACTCAAGACTATGATATGGAGTGGAGAATGGGCAAAAGGACACCAATAGAAACCTTTCACAAAGAAATCAGATAGGAAGTCACTTAGTATTGCATGAGAGTCCATTACGAACAAGTTGAAGAAACAATGAGGTGATGGAGGTGTAGACACAGAAACCAGACTGAAAGCCTTTTTTGTTTGTTTTTTCTATCTTCACCACTGCTATCAGTTGTTGTTTGCTGTTCATATGGCACCTTCCTAAATGTGAAAAACATATATAGGCCAGACAGGTAACAGCCAGGAACCCTAGATTGTAGGGACCACTGTCTGTGCTGAGAGGAACATGTTTTCTGTAAGTTTGATAATGGCAAAAGAACGAAGCAGATGTGGTCATGAAAAGAAAAAAGTTGACCAGATCATGCATCAGAAAAGACAGCTGATTAAGTTCTAGTGAGGTAGTGCTAGCTTTTCATTAGCCCAAGTGTGCTTCAGATTAAATATTTCTTACTCTTGCTGTTTACCAGTAGCCCAGTTTTACATGCTGTTTACCATGACCAGTAACATGGTGAATTGCCTCCATTGCCACACACTTACATCAGACTACACAGCATCATCAGTTCTAAACAATTCTTAGTCCTGTTAATGATATTAAGTGAAGTTCTTATATAAAATAAACATTCTCTTGTCAAATCTACATCACTGGGGTACTTTTTAGGCTAGATGTACTATTATTACTTGGAATTTTCCACCATATGGGCTGGCAGATTTCTTTCCATTATCAGTTGGCTCCAGTTCCTAATCAGAAGGAGAAATCACAGCACTGCAGGTTATGAAATAATGGAAAATTCCATCATTTCAAAAGTGTGGTTACTGATGGGAAAGTGATTGCTTTTCCTAACTCTTGTTTGCTTCATGAAACAATGACTGCAAAGTTCAGCTTTGGGCAATTGAATACTACATTGCTCCTTTGCAAAACACTACACTCCTCTCTTATTTTGGCTCATACTTTGTTTTAATTCTTTAGGTAAAATTCTGGCCTCACTGCAGGCAATGTGACTTAATTGAAGCAAGGATTTCAGATCTCTTTTCTTACAGGTCAGAACTGTGCAGAAAATACTTTTCTATCTCATGCATTTTCCTTAATTACTTGACTACAGCACATAGTTAAAAATTAACAATTTGGCATATATTCACTTCATCCACACAGTATTGTAAGCATCAAAAATAAGAAGATTTAGTCCACAGTTGCATTAGAAATACTGTATTGGAAACTTGGTTCCACCACAGTAACTTTTAATGCACTGTGCTGTTCTTCCAGTGTGCTGTCTCACAGAATACAATGAGCTGCATTGTATTCGATGTCTGGGAGGCTGGGGTTTTCCACAGGTAGGGTAATAAAACTGTCACAAAACACACCTGACATCCAGTAAATGCTGTGAACTAGAACTATGCAAATGCCACTGAGATTTCTAAATAAAGCCACATATTTAACATACAGTTATCACCAAAGTTGTTCAGCAAGCATGTGAGGCACTTGCACTGCAAACTGATAGAGTCTCAGTTCCAACAAAGCACAGGTAGAAGTGAACCTCAGACTTAAATATCCACAAGAATTCCTTGTTATTCTACTTCGGAGCTTGGGAGAGTACTAAGTGTCTTCTGCTACACAATGAAAAGCATTCTGCAATGAGCAAATACCAGGTCTTCCAGATGCAAGAATTAGAAAGGCAGCCTACAGAGGCAGAGCATGAGTCTAGACACTGCCTAGCACTGAGCAGCTAGGCTGTTTGCTACTGCCCAAGTACGTAGCATACTGTCAGAGTCACAGCCTTTTGTAGCCAATGGTACCAGTACAGGAAGTCTGAGAGAGAGTCTGAGTAACACAGAAGGACTTGTCTTATTTTCTGCAGATACTAATTGTTTCACTGCCTTTGTGTAGTGTGCTGCAGAGGGCCAGAAAGGTGGCTGAGTTCTGGGTGCTGCCACAGACTCTGTGGAAGTCTGACAGTTGTGCAGGGACAGTCTTTGAGGGCTGAAAAGCAATACATGGTAACCATTCAAAATTTCTGCACTGCTCAGAGAAGGCTCAAGGTCAGGAAGGGCAGAATCATTGTAGGGAGTTCCTAAGAAACTGGAAACCCTTGCCAAGGAGCAGATGAGAGAGGAAGGGTCTATTGGAAGGCAGGCTGTAACCCAGTCCACAGACAAGAAAATTCTGTCATAACTAGGTGAGGTCTACACAGTGTTGAGAGAAGTAATACACTTAATACAGGCAATATGTTATTTTCTTTTGTGTTTTTGTATTTCCAGAGGTGGATGAAGTAATTAATTTTGAATACGCTGCCCACTGTCATTGCTTGTATGTTCTCCTGCTAACTCTTTGAGATAAGACAGATGGGGGTTCAGTAACCAGGAGCAGAGTCTAAGAGGATGCTTAGTGGGTGTATTTAATCTAGAAGGAGTGGGGGTGCTTATCCTTCAAGGCTGTCATCAAGGACATTCAGCATGGTCAGAGGCATGCTGTTTCCTAGATCCAAGATGGGCAGGACTGGAGGATCAGGAGGCTACCCCTAACAGCTAAATAAAACAGACCAGCAGCTTACTTTGTTGGAAGGAGGCAAGTAGCATTGTATAGTCACACTCATATGAATAAACACTCTTGCTTCCCAAACTACGGATGACCTTTTCTATAATGTCTACTGGAAGCAGCCCCTGAGCTGTAATACACCTGGAACATTTGCAGTCATTGCCTGGGAGAGTTGACACAGGCCACAGGCCAGGTAGTGTGCTAGCAAACAAACGGCATGGATTGTTTGAGCCAAACCTGTGCTGTGGTCCCTTTTATTTATAAAATAGGCTTAACCATGGAATCAAGTTTTGCCAGCACTGTACTGTTCTTCCAGAGAGTAAGTGTCCTTTAACTCCATTAGATTGGTTAAAGAGTACTCCAAATCTACCCGTCTGAGACCTAAAAGTCTTATTACAATTAGTCTTTATAGTAATTTATTCTATCAGATGATCTCTCATCTGCTGAACTGTCAAAAGATTCTTGACTTCACATGGCTTTCAAACTGGATGATGCAGTTAGAAGTCAAATTTGATTTGTAGAAATCAGGTTTCAAACCAGGTGGTGCTAAGATGCAAAAATTCTCTAAAAAGAATTTATTGTTTTGACTTAAGTACCAAATTACAGATTTTACCTCTTCTACATGCTGAACAAATCACTCGGAGCAAAGGCTTGTGATGATGATGATGATGATTTATGGCTTTAATTTCTAAGAGATGGTATGGATTGAGATCTGGCTGATGTTTCCTGGCATTGGATTCACTCAACACAGCAAATAGTTTTCAAAGCTGCCTTAAACAATTTATGAGCTTCAATGCCATTTTTAAAAATAATTAATGTATTTGTAAGTCTAAGGAGGCAAGTCTGTCTAAGACTTGCAGCTGTGTCACATGTTTGAGCAAGTTTCTGTCACTCAGCTGAACTGTAGCAGAGACTACATTTATATATATGTACATTCTTTGTGATTGTCCCCTCAGTTTCATTGAAATTCAGTGTGACAGCTTCCCAGCTGGTATACATTTGTGCAGGACAAGTGGGCTCAAGTGTGCTTTTGTGCTGCTCACTCCCTCTCTGGGTTTTACTGACCTCATCTAAAAGCTGATCATGACTGAAATAATGAGCAGGAATTTATTAGCACATTTTGCAAAACCTTTTTTATTTCCTCTCTTACAGAAAGCTTTTTAGATACGGTCTGAGTTTTGCATAGCCAGTCTGGCAGCTGTACCTGAGTCCCTGACTTAGGCTATAGTGAGATTCTTACCGAGAATCCGTTGCCTCAGTGCAAGACTATAATCCTTCATTCCTATCACACTCTCCCTCTGAGGCTTTGGACAGGTACAGCTGTGGCTTTTGTGCCTTGATTTGTTCCAAGGCTTTCAAGGACAGAACAGAAACATGTTCAAGCAGATCTCTGACTGTATCTTATGGCATAGCCTTTCTCTTACAGCCAGCCACATGCTTATGCTGCACTCTTAAATCATAAGATGTAAACTTTAACCCCTTAAAAAAGTGTGGTGTGCCTAAGAGCATGAGAACAGCTAAAACCAAAGCTGACACCTGTGCCAGTTCCCTGTCCACCATCTCCAGCATTCAGAGGCAGTGATGCATGCCAGGGGAGGCCTATAAGCAGTGTGGAACAAGTGTTCAGTGACACTGCATCAGCATTCTGTCCTTGGCACTTGGCATTCCCACCTGGCTACTGCTGCAGGCACATGCCAGTGGAACCAGAACAGTGACAGACTCTTCCTCAGACTCTGTGTAAGGAGGAACTGTCCAGGTTGTGTGGATTTTTGGTGACTTGAGGGGGAAAGAGTTCACAAAGATCTGAATATGTTAATGCTCTGGCTTCTCTGTGACTATCTGTTTATCTTCCCAAATGCTATGTGTTCACATAGTCCTTCTGTCTTCTTCCCATCAGACTGCTCCATTCTTTCTTGTCAATGTCTCCCAGAAATGCTATTAGATTGTTTTGGGAAGTGATCTCCAGAGCTGCCACACAATCTTGTGTGAACTCCTCTCAAGTAGCCACCAGCTTCATTCCCTCTCACTCCTGTGCAGATAGAGTGCTTCCATATGAATCCTCTAGGTGCTTTAACAACACATTTGAATTTAGGGGAAGCCCCAGTGCAGAATGCATTGGGAGCATCTTTTGGAGAGGACCATATTTTCCTTCTATGTCAGAAATTTATTTCCCCCTCCTTTAAAGAAGGGGATGGGGTGTAAAAGTATATGTTGTCTACAGACAATCCAATCTCATGGAGACAGAAGCAATTTCAACTATATAAAGAGGTCAAGAGAACTTAAAAATCAAAAGATAGTGAAGGAGGAAGTGTGTGAAGCCTGGCCTGACCTTTTCTGGAGCAGGCAGACCCTGAAGAGGCCTTCCAGAACCTGCTGTCTATTGACTGACCCACCAAAACCTACCCAATAGCACACTGATGGTGACAAAGATGTGAACACAATCCTTTCCCTTATTGTTGATTGTGCCTAGTAGGAAGAGATTTTATCAAAGCTTTTGGTACTGGGGTAACACATGGAGATACCGAGGAAAATGGGAAGGGCAGAGACTTTTCATTCCCCATTTTTAATGCAATCAATATTATGAAGTCCTGCCAAATTTCTCAAAACTCCTTAGATTTGCTTTTGTTTCCTGTGGTATGTAGATGTTTGGGTGATGATTCAAGTGCAGTTTATCTATTCATTATAAGCATGTGTTTCTTTACAATTTTTACGGTCTAAACCTTTTCCATATTTATATGAAATAGTCTTCATTTCCAGGTTTATGTGGTTTCCTGAAATATGTGTACTCTTACTAATATTTTTTCTGTGAAAATACCACAGATATATGTTTATGTGTATAATTTCAATTACAAGGTGTTCTCTTTGGCTGTGAAATGATTTTCCAAATAGATTTCTGTAAATAATTTTTTTTTCTGATTTGCTAGCTTAACCAAATGCCTGAAAATAAAATTAATTTGGAGTCAGCCCAACAAAATAAAACACAGTTCAGCTGGGGGCCGGGGGTGGGGGAAGATCTTAAAAGGAACAGGATTCAGCTTCCTGGAGTTTGTTTGGCGTTCTTATATTTCTTTTTAAAATTAAACTCATTGGAAATTAAACTTATTTTAAATTAAACTCTTTGGAAGCATGTACTGGGGAAACAAGCCAGCCTGCTTTTCTTCACATTCCCTGGACTGCAGAGGGAGTTGAGGCAAGGCGAGGCGGCCTCACCCCTGGTTGCAGCATCCTCTCCATCGGGCCGAATGGGGGGGAGGTTATTCTAGACGTAAATTTAAAGAAAGAGGCCTAACAGCTGAAATATAATATGTTATAGAGGTTATTTGGGTTTAAAAAAAAATTAAAACATTGCGTTGACAAGATTTGACATTTTCCACCTAAGCCTGGGTCACATTTTACTTCTCCGTGTGCTCGGGCAGGGAAGAGGAGGGAGGAGGCCGCGGGGCGGCCGGGGCTGCCTCCTCGCTTCTCGGGCTGCGGAGCAGCGCTGAGAGGGCTGGAGCCGGGGCGGAGGGGCGGGCGAAGGAGAGGGCTGGAATCGGGGCGGAGGCCGGCGGCCCTGACGGCGTGTGTGCCTTGCAGATCTTCGAGTGGTGGTACTTCCGCAAGTACGGCACCTCCTTCATCGAGCAGGTCTCGGTGAGCCACCTGCGCCCCCTGCTGGGCGGGGTGGACAACAGCGCGCCCAGCGCCGCCAGCGCCGCCGGCGGGGACGCGGACTCGAGCCGCCAGAGCGTCTCAGGTGAGCGGCGCCGCGGCCCCCGGGCCTGCCCCCGGGCCTGCCCCCCGGGCCTGCCCCACGGGCCTGCCCCCCGGGCCTGCCCCCCGGGCCTGCCCCCCGGGCCTGTCCCCGGCCTGCCCCCGGCCTGGCCCCCGGGCTGCCCCACGGGCTGCCCCACGGGCCTGCCCCCCGGGCCTGCCCCCCGGGCCTGCCCCGGGCTCCTGCTCCTCCCGGCAGAAGGCACAGCTGCCTCTTAATTGCTAATTGCATCCTTCCGAATTCACGCGGTGTGTTTTGTTCAGGCTGCGTGGTTCATGCATTTGCTTTCTCCTTGTTGTGAGGACCCTGCGAAATTGCACGTGCCCTTTCTGCCCTTTGTCCAGCGGAGGGGCTGCAAAGATGGTTAAGGGGCTGGAGCATCTCGTATGAGGAAAGGCTGGGGGAGGTGGGCCTGTTCAGCCTCGGGAAGAGACAACTGTGAGGGGACCTCATCAATGTCTATGTGAAGAGAGAGTGTCAGAGGGATGGAGCTCGGTGGTGCCGAGCAGTAGGACAAAGGGCAGTGGGCAGAAGCTGATGCACAGTAAGTTCCACCTGAATGTGAGGAAGAACTTCTGCACTGGAACAGGTTGCCCAGAAAGGCTGTGGAGTCTCCTTCCCTGGAGATATTCTAGCACCATGTGAACGCAGTCCTGTGCCATGTGCTCTGGGATGACCCTGTTTGAGCAGGGAGGTTGGGTGAGGTGAGCCACTGTGGTCCCTTCCAACTCAACCAGTTATCTGATTCTGTGATTCTAAAGGCAGGCAGTATTTCTAGTGAAATCATTTTTAGTAATAACCAAGTTGTTTTAAAAAATAATCAGGCAAAGAAGTTAGAAATGTTAATCTGGTTTAGCATCACTTTGGTTTTTAGATAACAAAAACAATAAATAAAAAATAAAAACTTACTTTTTGTAAGTAGTATGTACACAACATTTGGATTTCACCTTGGTAAGTAGAAGCATGGTGGTTTTTAACAGCTTAAGGGCTTGTTATGTTCTGATTCCACTGCTGATTTGCTTTGTGGCTTTGGACAAGTCCTAACGTAGTCAGGCTTTTTTAAAAGGCCTCCAGTTTAAGAGGCATGATTTCAGGCATTTGTGGCCTGAGTTTTAGAGCTTCCAGGCATTCACATCCCCTAAAAGTTTCAGTGCAAGGAGTGAAGGCTCTGACCCTAAGTCATTCAAGCCTGAGGCACTTTGAGTCAGGTGCCTGGGCAATGGTTCCAGCCTGCCTAAAATGAATCAGCCCTCAAGCACTGAAATTTGTGGACTAAAGGAGCTACAGAGGAACTTGTCTCCCTAATTCAGTGACATAGCTGCCTGGAGATTGAAAAATTATCCCATGAGTGATGAAAATGCTGGTATGCTATTGCGTCTGGCTTGAGTGGGATATACTCACTGTTAAAGTCAGGGCAGGAGCATCTGGGTTTGTGTTCCTCATCTGTAAAACACAGCTTATCTGTCTCTGTCCTAGCTTGGCTTACAGGCCATAATCTTAGGAATGTGGCCCTATAATCAACCAGAATTTTATTAAATTTATTTTATGTGCAGGCTTTTAGAATATATCAGAATTTACAAGTGAAGAAAAGTGAATGAAAAGAAAAAATTCGCTTATGGAGAAAACATTGTTCTGCAGTTGAGCTCACTATGTCTGTACCTAGCAAATTTTATCTCTGCTTCTCAGCATGCATGAAAACAGTCAAACAAAAATTAGCTCTGAATTTACATGTTAAATAATGTAGGTGGCTTCACAAAACCTTGTTATTTACTGAGTAAGTCTACTTAAGGAAGCCTCCATACAGCACAGCAAATTCAGCTGTTGTCATTCTCATCTGAAGAGAGTCTGTGAATAGCAGCACTGCATGGTCCAGGATATTAGATTTGGGTGAACTGGCAGAAAGCATGGGATGTCTTGGAACCACCTGTGTGCACTCATCAGTGGGCTCAGTCATACTTCAGCAGCCCAAAATAACTCCTGTCATTTTAAAGCAAAGGCACAGTGTTTTTATTAATGATATTCACACAAGCATCTTGAATTTTCTGATAGAAAAAAATAGTTAAGGAGTGTGTTTGCTTTCAGTGCATTGACACTGAGCTGGGACTCTCAGTGCCTCTGGACAGCGTGTCTGTATGGATAGGCTGTTACTTGTGCCTTCAGGTGGCAATAAAAGGCCGTCTTTACTTCCCCTTCTTGTTGCTCAGTTTAAGCTTTCCCTGCTACAGCGCCAAAATACTTCATACTTTGGATGAAGTGTAACCACTTGAATTCAAATAAGGTGAACAAAAAGTGTCACTGCAGTCAGATAGTTGTTACCCATTGTCATTGGTTGCAAACAGAGCAGGTCAAGACACCTGGAACTGAGAAGTCTGATGTTGATTTCATGTTTATAATGGTTTGAAAGTAATTTTATATAAAAACTGTGGGATTGAAGCTTGTCAAACAGCCACACTCTGTGGCTGCACAGCAGAGCACAGCAGAATGTCAATCAAGCAATTCTGCTGAGTAAACCAGTGGAACTTTCTAATATTAGCTGCCTGCTGAAATGAGTTCTTCAAAAATAAGCTCTTCCCTAAAGTCTGCCTGTTCCTGTGTCTGTGCCATGACTTGCTGGGTAGGCAGCAAACTGAGGGCCCACCTCCTGTTCCACTTGACTACTTTCTGTGTTGCTGAGGGTGTCGAGGGTGTCCTTCTGTTATTGTGGATAATTTATGCTAAATGCTTTTTGTCCATGCCACTGTAGCTCCATACTCAGATGTAGGAGCTGTATCCATGAGAAAAGAAGAGGACTTGACTTGCTGTTCAGTACTTCCTTTCCTAACAGAACAGGCATAAAGGGAACAGGCATATTTGTTACCATAAAGATACCCTTCTGATCCAATATTGTACCAGAAAACTGCTGGTTTGATCTCTTCAGAAATTATGTTAGAAAAATTCATAGGGAGAAATCTGCTGGTTAACGTTTTTAGTAGAAAGCACTTAGTGAAATGCTGGAGGGCCAGTGCTGCTGATGAGTTTTTGCAGAGCCCCATGTGAAGGGTCATCCAGTAGCAGACCTGAGGTGGAATGACATCCTGCCTCTCAGTGAGTCTTTGTGTAAGTAGTGGGGTTTATTCTGGTCTCACCTTCACTGGAGTGAATTGTCTTTGTTGAAATTAAGAGAATAAATCTGGTATAAAAGTAAAGAAAAGCCAGAATCAAGACCTCACTGTTTCAAAGGCTGTACAATTTGATTATATTTTTTTAAATTTTTGCTTTAAATTGTGTTGTTGATTTCCATATCTCTTACTTCTTGTAGTGTGAAAAATTCACAGTTTTTCCCCCCAAGGGAAATTTAGAAAATGTTTCTAATATTCTGAAACCTCTGGAATGCAATCAACTTTTCTCTGCCAGTCAATTTCAGCATCTGCTTCTGTCTTAAGATCAGCAGATGTTTCCATGGATTTTTACTTCACAAACTAAGGAGAAATTAAATTTGGCAGCTGTAGCTGAGATTCACAGTGATTTACAGCATTAACTGGACAGTGATGTTTTTCTGGAGAAATAACGAGTCCATAGGGACTGGGTTAATTGCTGTTTTTTCAGTGCAATAACCCAGTGTGATCCCTCTTCAGTTCTGCATTATGGTAAATGTGAGTCCTGGAACTAATCAGTATTATCTTTTCATGTGGCATTTGGGGCTTTGTTAGTGGTTATTTGTCTGGAATGATTGCATTTGTTGACACTAATTTATAATTAAATTATTATTTAAGAAAGGAAGAACAGTGTGATTACCTTCATCTTGGTGCTCTTGATGGGTTTTTGCATTTGCACCTATGAAAAATAAGCCATTTGATAAGGCTCATTGTATGGTAACTGATGTTTTTTATACACCTCAAGTGCCATTGTAATTTGGGAGAGATCCATTATGTGTGTGTCTGCTTCTTACAGAGTGCAAAGTCTGGCGAAATCCTTTAAATCTGTTCAGAGGAGCTGAATATAATCGGTAGGTGCTACAAAATTACAGTTTTTGGGTATAGTACTGGCTTAAGGAGCTTAACTGTTCTTTTCCATTAATCTAACTGAAGAGATGAAGAAACAAAATCAACTGTGGATAAATGTACTCATGTCAGGTTTTTCTGTAATTCATAAAATGTTCCTGAATTAAAAGGAATTTAAATTCATGCTGATGCACTTTCTTATTTCTCTAATATTTGCTATTTCTCCAATTTCATAACCTTATAAAAAAGAAGAGTAACCTAAGTGTGCTGTACCTGGTGTTAATGCAGCATTTCTGTTCAAATCCATTATAGCAAAAAACCTAATGAATTCCTTACAGGTTTCATTGAGTCCTAATGTTTGAATATGTGTTACCAAATTCCAGTGTGTACTTTTCAACATCCTCATTAGCTTAGGCTCAGCTACCATTGCTCCATCCCAGTACGGTGAAATGCAATGTATACTGGTTAGAAGATGGGCCAGGTAAACTTACTTGGCTATTCCTGTCCCAGAGGTCTGGGATTCTTTTATGGATTCGTTTTGCCAAGTGTGACCTCATTAACCAAAATGTCTCCTTGTTGGCATGTTTGCAGGTATACATGGGTAACAGGAAGAGAACCTTTGACTTACTACGATATGAATCTTTCAGCACAGGACCATCAGACATTCTTTACCTGTGACACAGATCATTTACGGCCTGCAGATGCTAGTAAGAGACCTTGTCAGCAATTGGATTAATAATAGATTAAAAATTGATTAATGGCTGATTTAAACTGATGCAAGAAAAATGCAGTGAGACATCAGCTCTTTCATGTAGATGAGAAAAGGCAAAAGTTTGATCGTGCTGAGAAACCACTGTTGTTGAATTTATAGAATTCTAGATCTGAACAAGTATCTATATATGTAAATGATCTAATTAGTGTTGCTGGAGTCATTCAAGGTACCATTTAAAAGTGTAAAGGTTTGTTCCTTTCTTCCTCTTTCTTGCAGTGCCTTCAAACATACATAGCTTGATTTGCCTCCAGCTGCAGTGCAGTAGGTTGAGTTACATTATCCAGGTTCTGTTTAGTCTACACTGACAGAAGAGAGAGAGCTGATGTAAAATTTGAGAGCTGTGTTTCATTCCCTGATGTAGTTAGGTCTGTAAAAAATGGGAACAGCACATTTACAACTGAATTTGTACAAGCAGCTTTAGTTGTGTTAAGCCTGTACTGTGAAGTCCATATGCAGACTTTTATTCTAATAAAAATATACAGTGATTTCAGTCATTAGAATTTGCCTCTGAAGAGATAAATCTTTGTCTCTTAGGAAGGGAGAGATACTAACAGTTGGGTGCTCCATTCTGAAGGCATAGTTACATAGGAGAACATATTGTGGTTTTTTGGCACATGATAAACATGAATCCTGTTTTCTGAACCCAGTGGTGTAATTATGAGGTAGTAATATTAGCCGGGAAGTTGTTTCTATTTAGCATTCACATAAAGCAACAGCTCAGTAAGGGGCTAGAATAAGGACCCCAACTATCCTTTTATTGTTTTGTTCTCCATGGAATCTACTGCACCAACAGGAAGTAGCTGCTTGTCACCTCTGTACTTGGCAATGCAGACAGCCTGATCTCTCTGCCAGACTTTTCTCCTGGAAAAAAGTTTAATTAGATGAAAGAAGAGAAAACACTGAGTGTTTGGGACCAAAGCTCCTGTTTCTTATGTGTCTTTTTGAATGATCACTGAGCTATATGAAGTGCTCTGTATGAGGCTGAGATCAGTAATTTCTTTTGTTATAGTGCAGTAGATTTTTGTTAATCCTGCAGTAACTGATATTTCTTTCTTGTCCTTTGTTTGCTGAATAGTAATGCAAAAAGCCTGGAGAGAGAGAAACCCTCAAGCACGAATTTCTGCAGCACATGAAGCTTTGGAATTGAATGAGTGAGTGACAACAACATTAACATTTATTTCCTGTCTTTTAAAAATCCATTTGATGATATTTTAAGGCCAGGGGTTTGCTGTAGTAATTTTTAACCACGATTGCAGGCCTGTCAAAGGAAGGTCTACCACAGAAGGAAAACAGCACAGCTGCATGTCTTGCTAGCTACCCAGCAGATCCTTAGGGTAGTGATGACAATGAGAGTCTTCCCATTGATGTCAGCGGGCTTTGGAACAGCATAGAAAAATGTTAATCAAGTTACCTCCTGATGAGCATATGAAATATGCATTTCAGGATGAAGAGTTCCCTTTTGGATTTCTCAGTCATCAAGAACAGAAGCAAGAAAGAAGAGACTCATAAACACATTCTGAAATACTCATTTCATACTATGAGAGAACATGATGTAATTTGCTGTGACTTTTGGTCCTTGAGTCTGTTATTTATTTTTTCAATGAGAAGTGTAGTATTTTGAGATCCCACAATAAACTCGGTGCTGTGATGATTTACTGATATGGCAGACTGTATAAATGTTGCTAACGTGCATAAAAGGAATCCTTTAGGTTGCTGAACTGAGATTGCTACCTTTTAGAGTTCCATAAACTGATGCTTTACAGATAGTCCTTAATGTGTTTCATCAGAATAAAAGAATTTTTTCTTCTTGTATAGTGATTTATCATGCAGCATAAAAGGGAAGAGCGAGCTATAAGCCTGTCCTACTCACGTTTCACAGAATTACAGAATGGTTGAGGTTAGCAGGGATCTCTGGAAATCAGTATGCAAACTCTCCCTTCAGAGTCACCTACAATGCATTGCACAGAAACGTGTCCAGCAGGCTTTTGAATGTCTCCAAGGAGAGAGACTTGACAGCTTGTACCAGTGCTCAGTCACCTTTAGAGTAAAAAAATTGTTTCTGAGATTCAGGGGGAACCTCCTGTGTCTCATTTTGTGCCTATTGCCACTGGTCCTGTCACTGGGAACCACTAAAAGGTGGGAACCCTGGCACTTTCCTCTTTGCCCCCTCACTGCAGGTATTCGCAAACTTTGACAAATTCCCCCCAAAGCCTTATCTGCTCCAGACTGAACAGTCCTAGCTCTCTGAGCCTTTTCTCATATGTGAGATACCCCAGGCCCTACACACCTTCACTGGACTCTCTGCAGTACATCCATGTCCTCCTTGTACTGGGGAGCCCAGAACTGGACACAGCACATCCACATGTGGCCTCATCAGGGCTGACTAGAGGGTAAGGATCACCTCCCTCAGCCTGCTGGAAACACTTCTAGTGCAGCTCTGCTGCAAGGGCACGTTGCTGTTTTGGTTTTTGCTTGATTTGGGTTGGGTTTTCTTTGTTGTTGTTGTTTTATCTTTACAACTACATTTATAATCTGTTCTTTTTACATGGAAAATGTTACAGTTCTGTTGATTCTTTTCATATCATTACAATAAGGGATATGGTTTATATTAAAACAATAGTGCATAAAACTAGTCTTGATTTCCAGAAGGAGTTTTAGGGATGTAGGCTTAGTGAGACAGCTGCTTTACTTTCTGGGGCAGTTGTCAGTAGGTGTACTCAAGGACTGAGTGATACAGTACCTAAAAATGAGGGTTGTGGTGTTGTTGACAGAATATTTATTCATCAGAAGAGTTCATCAGAAAGGTACATGACAAAATTTCCTTGCCTCTGTATTTAGTAGATCCTTTCCAGTCTGCATGTCTTCAAACAGTTTTTACATCAGGTGCCTGGTACCTTTCTCATGGTTTTTCCTCTGATATTCTTGCAGGTGTGCTACTGCTTATATTCTCTTAGCTGAAGAGGAAGCAACAACAATTGTAGAAGCAGAGAAGCTGTTCAAGCAGGCTCTGAAAGCTGGAGAGGGCTGTTACAGGCGCAGCCAGCAGCTACAGCACCATGGTGCCCAGTATGAAGCTCAACACAGTAAGTTTTTTAGGAGGGAGAGAACTTCCAAAGAGTTCTTTGGATTTGGGGTTTTGGGGTTTTTTGTTTTCCCCCTAAGAACTATGCACTCAGTGTTTGATATTGGCTGGAATGTGGTCCTCGAGCCAAACTATTCTGTTTTAGTGTTTTTGCTTGATTCTGTTGCTGAGATGTCAATGCTCAGATTACAGATGTGCCTTTATTTTGTCAAGGCAGAAAATGCTTAAGCATGTGCTTAACAGAAGAAAAAAAGGTATCAGAGCCAAAGAGAGATGACATTCAGAAAAGGCTGAACACCCTTTAAGGATGTTGCCTTTAGCCATTTTGCAAACTCAGGCTCATGTTGTGAAAAGGCAGTACAGAATGGTGGAAATGTGAGTGAAGTGATGCTTTGCCTGCTTTTTTCCATCAGCTCTTGGGGCAGATGCTTACACTGTTCTGTGTAAAAGTTAATGAGACCCGTTAGCCACTAGGACACTGGAAGTTAGTTGCATTCATTAAGAAAGGTCACGGAAACATAAAATTTTGAAATTGGGATAATAAAGTGCTTTACTTTAAAGTCTAGATTTTTATTACTTTTTAAAATACTTTGAATAATCAGGTTTGTCTGCTGTCCTATTTATTAGCTATTCCTTAAATCTAAGAAAATACATTCACTGACAATAAATTACCAAAAAGATAATAAAGCAAAAAGTCAAGGTTATTTCTAGACTAGATTGGATACCTTAGGCAAAAATAACACAAATTAATTGTATTAATACAAGCACTAACATACTTTCGGGCATCTTCAGGTTTCTCAGGACCCGATTTCACAGCCTCTGGCTATCCTCCATAATTTGAAGATTACTGATAAAAATTGTACATAGTAAAATTGTCTGTGATCCCTGGTTTCAAATGTGTATGCAAGTCTATACCTGAAAACCCAAGGTTTCATAAAGCTTGGGGGTAGTATTTTAAACATTTGTTGATTGTAAAATCATATTTAGGATGATTTTTGGTGAAAGTTAAAATAGAAAGCAGCTGAGCCCTTGAAGCAATTTTTGGGCTCTAGCAGGTTTATGGTCATCTGTGAAACCTTAGTTTGTGCACTCAATCCATCCTGAGTGCAACAATTCTGTGAAAAGTACACAGTAAGTGGTTAGTAAGCGCTGTCATGATGTTTTTGTCCAAGGTAACTTGGGAAAGTTTGTGCAGGCAGATACAAGTATGGTATTTCTGTAACCCGTGTGTGCTAGGTGGCCTCTGTCACCATCAGATTTCACACCCTTCAGTAGTGCAGCAGAGGAAATAACCGTTGAATCACAAAACTAAGTGCACTGTCACAGAGCAGAGAGGCTGAAAAGTGACTGCCAGCTCTGACCGTGTCTTCAGGAGGGGCTAGATCATCCCACTGTTCTGTAGCACTCGGTCTCCCCTTGAAAATGTCAGTGTGCACCCACAGAAATTAGAGAATCTCCAGCCTCAGATGTTGCCTTGGACACAGGGGCTTCACGTGGAATTCTTTTGATTATATGCTAGACTTCTGCATGGTTTACAAAGGTGGAGAGGAGGGACTGTGGAGGAGGGACATGTGTTGTGCAGTTCCATGGTTCTGAAAAGTCCTGCATTCCATTTCTCGTCTTCAGAGTTAATTCTGGGATGAAGAGTAGGCATTTCATCTTTTAAAGGTGAAATACACTGTAATCTCTTGAATCACAGCATATTGTTCTATGTTTGTTTATTCATGTGTTCCACCTCCTTCATAAAATATTTTCTTAAACCATAAAGAGTAAATAATGACTTGGAGTACCTACCTTGCCCTCTTTCAAAATGTGATAGTTTATTAAAAGCAAGGGCAATTTTATTTCTAAGGTTGCTCATGTTAGGTATCCCAAGTCATTAGTAACCTCAGAGAATTTTGGCCTGAAAAAATATCTTGATTTCATAGTAAGTGGATGGCTTTTGACCATTCCTGCTCACAATTGTGAAAAGAAGCTTAACCTGAAATGTATGCCTCATAGCTCATTACATAAACATATTGAAACAGATGTAACTAATAAATTGTGTATTAAATACATAAGAATCAATAAAGAGATTAAGAATTAGGTAATACAGAATACAGCTAGAGAAATTATTCTCTCTTCTTTTATTTTTTCCTCTAAAGTAAGTCCTTTCGACCTGCTGCTTAATCTACTTGAACATTTTAATCACAGCTTTAAAACCATTTGTAGGTACTTGGAATGTTTTCAACACACATGCTGTTCTTATTATGAAAGGCTTGAAAATGTTAGGAATAGGCTAAAATCTTAACAGAGCACATGCTATACACAAAGATAATTTGTAGCAGGTGTATTACATTTTCATGATTCAGTAATTTTATAGATTATTGTCTGTCCACTCATTTCCTGTTGGTCCAGAAGCATTTTAAGAGTTCATATTCGAAGCAAATGAGAAGTGAAAGGGGTAAGAATTCTCCAGGAGAATAGTTATAACTGCTGTTTAGTTTCTGTCATCATTGCTGCTAGGGAGTCTTCTGGCACACAGGACTATCATATCTGAAATATGTTAATTTGCAAACCATAATTACTGGTGTGAGGAATTTCAAGATGGTAATTGGGTAATGAATAAAAGCTGTAAACCAAAACTTCAGAGTATACTTTTCTTCTAATCATTAAGAAAAAGATTGTTAGGAGGATGAGGATTTCCTTTAATACTTCTTTTTGACAAGCATGTACGTAACTGTACCTTCAGATCTGCTTATACGTCACAGTGCAAGGCCAACCCAAGAGTACTTATTTATACCACTGTATGTCTTGATTATTTCCACCAATTTCAGTTCTGTTATGCCTCATCTAATCTCCAGATTTTGATAATGTTTTATTAAAATCCTCATGAAAGCTTTGATGGTAATGTGTAAGAAAAAAAAGAAAAAACCCTGTGTTTCCTTTTGTGTTGGAATACTGAATTAACCTTTCATTTTAATGCTGTTTCTTTTTCCTCTTATACAGGAAGGGACACCAATGTGTTAGTATATATTAAAAGAAGGCTGGCAATGTGTGCAAGGAAGCTGGGAAGAACCAGAGAAGCAGTGAAAATGATGAGAGATGTGAGTTTGGATTTCTTTCACATGTGATATTTACATAATTGTAGTATAGAAATTATACATTTTCTTGCAAGTTAGCAGCCATTCCTGCTTCAGTCAGCACTGCTGATATTTCTTTTGTATGTGTAATGTACATAAAGACTAACTTAAGTGATCATTTATTTATAAGGTTATGAAAGCAATATCAAATACCAGATGAATGGTTACTCATGCAGACTGAATTTCCCATCCTGGTACATGTGCAATGAAGTGCAGTCTTTAATTATTTGATCATGAAGTTAGTAATATTGTTTTTCTGAGCCATGTGTTGAATGCTGCTAACTTCATAAGCAGGTCTTAAGTATTCTGTTTTCTCCTTCAAAGTTTGGCTCTGTGCATTGTTTGTGTCATACTATTCAGCTCTGAGGGTGTTATTTATTCATGCAAAACCTATCACTGAAAAGTCAAACCCCAAGTTGTGAATGTGTAATTAACTGAACCCCCTCTGAGATGGAGACTGTGTTCTGTCTTTGTAGGCAGGGGAGGGAGCTACCAATGGTAGATACAAGCTACAAAGCTGCAGACTTGAAACACTGAACAGTAGCTATTTTGGAGATGGCAGAAGGGGCAGTTGTTCACATTAGGCAGTGTACATGTTTCAAATATATAAAATGCTCAAGTTTAGATGTAGCAGTGAATGCCCAGAATTTCTTTCAGTGATATTCCCAGGATGCAGATTAGGAAGACAGTTCTTTGAGGATGTGACTTACATCACCTGAGGTAGCAAGTCTGTGACAGAAGGGGGAATGGAGCCCTACACCTCTGGGCAAATGATCGTAAAACTACCTCCCAGTTTCCTTTGTCTCAGATTTCATATTCCAGCTCCCACAAAAAAAAAATGAAAGAGGTGAATCCAGCAAGATACATAGTTCTGAAAATTGGGATGCAGGTGTTAAATTTTAAATGCACAAAATTAAATCCCAGACTGGAATGAAGCACATGTAAAGTGTGCTTTGGGCAGCTCAGATGAATGGTCCAGAAATCCGTCTAGTGAAAAGGGAAATTTTTGTTACGTGTCAGTGGGAATTTTAATGTGAAAAGGAAAGTGACTTTCTCTGGAGCTGAGATGCTTGCATCAGGGGCAGTAGGGCAAGTGTGTTTGCCAGCTTGGAGTCCAGGACTTGACATCTTCTCCTGGAACTGGAGCACTCATGAGTGTTTTTTTAAAACACTGAGCAGAGTTCACAGTAATAATGCAGATTCTTATCCTAAGTATCTACAGATGCCAAGGGGTGAGTAATTTTGTTTTCTGACTCTTGCTGGAGCTCTTCAGGCACACAACTCTCAATCTCCAGAACCACTAGAATCCCAGACAGAGTTGTTGAAAAAGAGCTTGTCAAAAAAATAGCCATTGTACAGCTATGAGTGTGAGAAAGAGGGATGAGGAAGAAAGACCTGGTTTAGCAGTCTTCTGGTCAACTGGGAGAATGTTGATTTCAAAAACACTGTTTTCAGTCCAGCCAGCTCCACTGATTCTTCATGAATTTTGTTACACAAGCACTGTGGGACAAATACTGAAATGTTTTTGGGACAGACATTGGAATTCTAAGTTCTGGCATTAATACACAAGAAAGATAAAATTTTGAATTTCCCCTTCAAATATAACACATCGTAATTATGGGAAATTCTGGAGCTTACTATGGGCTGCTAAATGTGCTTTGAGATTTGTAGATAGGGCTATGGGGAACAGATACTCTGAAGCATTTTTCTGCTGATGTCAATATGTTTGGATAGTTGTGTGTGCAGAGCACTTGGTCTGGGGACTTGGGTGGTCTGTCTAGTCCTAGATTTCTTGTGCAAAGTGAGAAACAGAGCTTTGATCAGTGAATGACTTATTTTTTCACTAGAGATAAAATTGCCTGAAATTTATAAGCAAAATAGAAAATTGTTGAAGTTAGTTACAATGTGCATCTCGAGAGACAGCACTAACAGGGAGACAAAGTCATCAGTTTTTGAAGAACAAAAAACACTCTTCAACAGCATTGTTTTGTTAAAATGAAAGGACTGGATGCTAGACAAAGGAGGTATAAAGATGGAATTTCATCTTAGAGAGTTTCAACTCAGATCAATGCATTCTGCATTTTTCTACTTAGAGACAAATTCTCGGAACTGAATTAGATACCTTTACAGTTCTTCATTTTAAGCAAGCAGAGCTGAGAATTAGCAAGTCTCTAGATGAAATATTAAAGCAGCAGTAACTCTAGGTCACAGCTCCAGTACCCTGGGAGCAAGATTAGGGTCAAGTCAGCTTTGCAGATGCTTCTCCTAGACTGCCTTGGAGCTACTTATTTCTGATGAATGCATGTTCTCCATTTCTTCATAGAAGACATAAATAGCACACTTATGGAGAGTTTTGAAGAACATGAATCTGTCACTGAAGGTTTCTTTGTGATTGATGAGGAAGGAGATGAATTTATTAATCCTAAAAAGAATACGAATAATAATGTTGGCTGGGGACTGCTGAATCTAACATCAGGGAGCAGAGGGTGGAGGCCCTGTTTGTGTTTGAAAGATTGAAAACAGGTTTCTCAAGACATGGAACATGATTGAAATGAAGTGTTAAGAGGTTCATGACACCATCTGGGAAATATGATTGGGATGTAGTGAGTCTTTGCCACTTCGAAAAAATAAAATATTTGAGAGTGTTTAATTTATTGCATATATGAGGCCATCTTGAGGACATTACTGATGGATTAGATTGTCTTGCTTAAATTTTTTGTAAGAAAATACTGAGATCCTACTTAAAGCACCTTAATGGAAGGAAAATGAGCTGTTGGTGACTTAAATAAGTTTTATTTTATGGTTATATACACTGCTGATAGGAAAATAATATTTTTAATGTTATATTGAAGGTATTTAAAACCAGGGGCATTTTCTAAAATTGATTTTAAAAACTGTTTAAAATCAAGGGTGCTTTAGTTTTAAAAAACTGGGTAGGAATTTCTGTTGCATCTATGATTGATTTTGAGACAGTGTTTTTTTGCTGGCTTTGCTGCTTGGATGTAATTCATTCAGTTGAATTAATGAGAATTACAAACCTGTAGTTTCCATGGAAGCATGTAATGAAATCATACATAGGTGTTGCTTTTGCTTGTATTTCTGATGATAATTATTTACTATATTTTGCTATAGAAACCAGCAGCTGTCACTGTTTGTATATATTGAGTTAACTTGTGATCTCATTTTGATTAGTGTATTGTTGGAATAACTCCAATGTAGTCAACAGAATTATTCCAGTTTTATTATTGTTTATACAGAGCATGATATGGTCTGTGAGGGAACTAGATTGCTTTTACTGTCCCCAAGGAGAAGGTCTACAGTGCTTGTTGTTTTATTTGTTGTGCTGATTATGTTAGGAGGATTTTAAGTAGGTTGTTCTAAATGATGGTGGAGAATTTAGTATGTGCAGAGGCAAAAGGCCATCCTGGTGGCTGTGAGTAATCTTTAGTGTCCCTTTGTGTTGAATCTTCCTTGTGGGCAATGTTGCAAGCCAATAGTGGTGATGAGCAAGGGCAGCTTTTTGTGCCACCTGCTTTCCATCTGCTCTTTTCAGAGTCCCTCACCATTACAATGGAGGAAAACAGGAATGTGCTAAGTTTGCATCTTGTGTTTTTCATTGATTGAAAACAGAGGATGTGGAAGGTATGCAAAGGCACTTCCCTCTCTGCTTTGTGGGCAACTGAATCCATGGCGAGCAGCCCAGCTGGGTCACTGGTGTATCCAGATGAAAATGTGCCATGCAAGAAAATGACTTGTCAAATTCTTTGGAGCTTCTTGGGATTGTTCTGGAGAACATCTGGTGAAACAAGCTTTTATTGAAGGGAGATGTATGTTTATGAAAGAGAAGAGTGGAAGGCAAAAGGTGTGCTAGTGGACAAAGCAAGTGGAAGTTCTTAATTGCTTCCTCCTTCTGAGAGAAGTTGAAGTAAACTCATTCTAGAGTGTATTTATCTCCTGCCCCATGGGCATGCACTCCCTCGAAGATTGCTTTATGTTCTTATTAAGTATGTATTTCTGAGACACAGTGGTATTGGAACTTGTTTTATTGCAACCTCGTTCAGAATTGAGTGAGGTTTAAGGAGAGAAGACGGTCTCCAGGTCTTCCTTAAGTCTGGGGAAGGAAGGAAGGAAGGAAGGAAGGAAGGAAGGAAGGAAGGAAGGAAGGAAGGAAGGAAAACACTTTTTCAGGGTCTGTCGTATCTGCTGAGAAATTACTCTTCAGACCATGATAAAGGACCTAGAAATCTGCTTTTACATATTTAGCTCTGACAACCATGCTGAGGATATTTCAGCTGAATGTGTTTTTGTGTTCACCTTGGTGCTCACCTCCAGTCAGTCACTAAATGTGTATTTTGTGCCACAGGGGACACCTAAGCAGCTTGTATTGTCAAGAGTGCTGCATGCTTATCCATTGGCTGCATGAAAAGTTCTGTAAACAGTTGGGCTGCCCTAAGCATCTGAAATAGTTTAAGAGGTTATGTCACTTGGAGGATTTGACAGGGTTCTCAGTCACACTAAATCAATTTTAATGGTATGAGTAGGTTAAGTTTTTATCTTCTTCTGATCAGTTGTATTAGTGATTTTTGCTGGTGTGATAGTTCTGAAATCTAGCATACTTTCTTGGCAACTTCTTTTGCTAAGCTTTGAATAAGGATTTCTGTTCAAGATTCTGTTGAATTCTGTATTCTTGTGTGCATTGCTGATTACTTCTTGAGTAAAAAATATATGTAGCCAGAACAGTGTTCTGCACCTTGAATTACCAAGTTGTGTGAAACAAAGCGAGTACCTACTCCTAATGAAGATGTTACGATCCCTAGCAACTTAATAACACAATTTCTGCATGACAGCTACTGTCTGTCTCTCCAAAATGCTTCTGTGCTTGAGGCAAGGATTAGTGAGTCAGACTCTTTGGCTTGTGTTACGCGGGTCAGGTTAGGCAGGCTGCTCTGCTGTGAGTGGGATTC